CTGACAGTGTTCCTCAGCTCCTTGAGCCTCGCCTCCCTGATGCAGAAGGAAGCCCTGACCCCACCTCAGGGGAGCGTGAGGAGTCCAAGACCAAGCTGCCCTGAGGTGCCAGCTGGGCCTTGCTGCCTCCCCACATGCCTCCTCCCTTCCCTTCCTTTCCCTCCCAGCCGCTCCAGTCTTTGGCAGGAAGGGGTTTCTCCCTCAATGCGTGAATGTGTTTCGGCGAGACGTTGGCACGTAGGAGGAGTGGAGCCGCGCGTCTTCCCTCCACTTTGTAGGCATTTCGATGTCGTCTCGTGGTACACAGTGCCATGGAGATTGGCCCAGCTGGAGTCTTCACTCTTGTCCTCAGAATGTTATAGACCAACCCCAATATTAAACGGGTTCCTGGCTGTGGGTCCTCACCCGCGCGCTTTAAAGGGACTTATGAATAGTCTACTACAGACACACACAAAAGGGTTAATAAAAGGTTTATTTACAAGAGAAAAAGAAATAAGGAAAATGTACAACTCAGGGAGAAAATAGGGAAATAAAGTCTTTAATGCGTCCTACCCGATCCGACGACCTGGAAACCCAAAGTCACTCTCAGAGCTGGCCGGACGCTGCGAGCTGGCCGAGAGCCCAAAAATGGAGAGTCCCCCAACGCCCACGTGTCTGCCTTTTGTATCCACCTGGCTGCTTAACCCCACCCTCAGGTCCCAGCCACCTTCCCTTTGGTGGTGATGGGATTTGGAGTTCCCAGTGTCTTTGGCTTTGGCCTGGGGTGGGGGTGGAGTCCACAAAGCCTGTATGGAATTTGCTTTGGGACATCCTTTTCCCCCTAACAAGAATGGTGGTGCTTTTACCTGTCACGTGTACATTCTGCACGCATTTCAAAATAGTCTGCACAGGTGTTCGTTTTTTCTGTGTCAATCCGTGGAGGAATTTCTCCCTCCCAATTTTCCTTTGACCTGCGGGCGTGGGACCTACTTGAAGTTCTGGAAAGAGGTGAGTGGGGTTCTGCAGTGGGTGAGAGTCAGGAGCTCTTGGTGGGGGCTGGTGCCTGAACCTTCCCAGGGGCGCCCCTTCCCCCGCAGGCCTGGGCAGGCACACAGACCTTCACAGCCTCTGCTGCTCCTCACTCCTCAGTGACCTGGGGATGCTGAGGTCAAAGTAGTGTTTTCACAGGGGCGGGTCCTTGTTGCCCTCTGCGGAACTCCCGAGTTTTATGAGGAAGAGGAGAGCATTCCTGGGCACTGGGTTGCCTCCGAGAGGAGCGGGCCTGATGCAATGAGCAGGACTCTGGGGCTGGATGGGAGGAAGAGAAAGGGCAGCCCAGCCTGCCTGAGGACACTGAGGGGTGCGGCCTTCAGCTATGTAGATAGGGCTCAGGAAGACTGATTGTGTGCTGAGGGACTTCGGCAGTTCAGAAAGACTGGGTGTGATCGGATCCTCCCTGGTAGCCTGGGGGTTAAGTCTCAGCAGCTCACCACTAAGGCTTGAGTTTGATCCCTAGCGCCATTCCAAAAGATACTGGCTCCAAACCCTTACAGCTCTTAGGATTCCCCACGACAGGCAAACACTGCCACTCTACCTCCCAAAAGAACACTGGTCAGGGGGCCGGCTTGGTGGTCCTGAAAAGCACCCTCTCCTCCTTTGCTCTGAGGAGGTGCTTCTGGAGTTCCTAGCTCACCACAGCTGTCAAGTGGCACCTACCCCGGAGCACTGACTGCTGGGCAGATGCTGAGCATCTGGGCATTGGGGCTGCTGGCGCCTAGCCTGGTAGCCTCAAGAAGCAGCACAGTTAAGTCACATACAAACATTTTATTTTGCAATGACATTCTCAACCAGGTATACATTATACTGTTATAAAATTTTGTATCAGTAATTTTTCTAATTTTAAATTAATATATTTATTTCAAAAATTAATGTGAGGCAAGAATATGTATTATTACAGAAAATAGTATTGTGTTTTTCTTCATGTTATATAGCAAGATATATAACCTTGGTAATTTATATTCCCCAGATAGATCTCTGTGAATAGTAATATATAGGCAGATTTATATGGACTATAGTCTTTCAAAATTTCCTTACAATATGTATACACTGTTCTTCAATGTTATATATGTTTATGTATATGTATACGCACATGCACATGTAACTGTTTTGTACTTATATTGTAGGTATTCTTCTAATTCCTGGGGATGTAGCAGTGAATGAAACAAAGTCCTTGCTTTATGTGGGAGAACATATGGTAATAAACAAATTAAGAAGTAAAGATGTAATATGTTAGGTGAAGATAAATGTTAGAAAAAAATTACTGGCTAAGGAGGATGCCTATAAAATATGTTCCAATTATTTGCAATTATTTCTTTATATGTGACATTTTTGTTTGGGATTAGAAAGTTCTTTTTTTTTAAGATTTATTTATTTATACAAGCACTGGGTACAGTCAGAAGCACAGGATGGTGAGAGAATTCACCAGAGCCAGAGCTGAGAACAGAACAGGCAGAGTGACGAAGTACACTGCTGAGGGGAGCAGCGGGCGTAGGGAGAGGTCTGCGCGCCATGTGGGACCCTTGCGCAGGGGTCGGGGATCGAACCAGCGCTTGCAGAGGCTGTGGGCAGCTTCACAGCTATGCAACCCAGCGCTCAACCGCTGCGCCACGGGGGAGGCCCATTAGCAAGGTCTTTTTAAAACTTCCCTTTAATGTCTTTAATTAACTTAAAAGCTTTTCTTGGATTATGTGTTTGGGTCGCAGAGGAAAATAACCTCCCTGGAGGGAAGGAAATGGTCCCTTACAGAATTTATTTAAGACAGAAACATTTTACAAGGTATCTCCTCAAGGAAACAGGTATTCAGTTATTTTCTGCACTATTCATAAAGGTAGAATTAGACCCCAAGCTTTTTTCCCCCTGTGGGGTCCTGCAAACTTCAGCGCTTCAAATCTAGAAATCCCAGTGGACTGTTATTTAACACAAACCTATGTATTACTCATTTTACCTGTCACAGCTGTATTACAGTTAAATAAAGAAAATATGTGAAAATAAAAGCAATGTCTGTACTCTCAAAAGAAAAATATTAAAAACTTGGGGGTTTGGGAGTAAAGGGAGGATGACATCCAAAGGACTGTAATGGAGGACTATGGGTGCTTTGGTGGTAGGGGGGTAGGGGTGGCATGGTGACATGCGTGAACACGTTTCCCTAAATCTTCTACAGCATTGTAAACCAAAGTGAAAAAAGTTACAGAAAAAAAAAATTTAAGTTTGAAAATATTTGCAACGATATGTAGACATAAAGGACTTTTGTTTCAGTAGAGAGACAAAAGATAACAAATAGTTTCCTATAAAGCAAAATGCTTTTCCAATGAGGATCTAGAAAGATGCCAAATCACTTTAACTGAAGAAATGAAAACCTGAAGATTCATATGTGAAAAAATTAATTTGCAGAAAATTATGTGATTGCAAAGTTAATAAAAAAATCTATCCGTGACTTTAATAAACACACAAATATTTTAAGATAGGTATGCACATTACCTAAAGAGAAGTGCATCTGGAAAATGTTGATCAATCTATTTACATTGAACATCTTGGAAATCCGTGAGTCCTGGGGAGATGGAAGGTGTAGAACATTTTCATTTTCTAAGTATACAATTTTAATATTTAATATTTGAAATCAGGCCAATTTGTTGAAACACTTGAAAGGATGTAGTAACCAATTGACAAAAAACTCACATTTTTTTTAAAGATTTGTGTATTTATGCATACAAGAGCTGGGGTGCAGGCCAAAGGCGTGAGAGGTAAGAGGATTCACCAGAGACAGAGTGGGAAGCAGAACAGGCAGATCTACTGAAATACACTGCTGAGGAGAGCAGTGGGCAAGTCAGGAGAGGTCTGCTGCGCCATGTGGGTAGCTCCCTGGCCGGGGATCAAACTCATGTTGCAATGGCTGCGGATAGCTTCATAGTGCGGCAACTTAACCCCTTGCGCCACCAGGGATGCCCCAAGCCTCTGACTACTAGGGGGCATCTATCTACATGATAGTACTTTTTATTTTTTTATTTATTTATTTTATTTTTTTTAAAGATTCATTATTTATTTATTTATTTGTACAAACACTGGGTACAGTCAGAAGCGCGGGAGGGTGAGAGAACTCACCAGAGCCAGAGCAGGGAGCAGAGCAGGCAGAAGGACCGAAGTACACTGCTGAGGGGAGCAGCGGGAGAGGTCTGCGCGCCATGTGGGACCCTCCTCCAGTGGCCGGGGAGCAGCTGGGGATCGAACCGCAGAGGCTGCGGGCAGCTTCGCAACCCAGCGCTCAACCGCTGCGCCACCGGGGAGGCCCTGATAGTACTTTTTAAAGGGAAGGAAGTGACTTGGTTTTTTCTACTGTTAATACAATAACCCACCAAACTCTGTTGGCTATTTCCTTTATGGTTTACAGGACTTTTGTTGTTTATTTTGTTTTGCTTTTTGACATTATCTCTCTGGGATGGGCTGGAGCAAATTCTAGTCATATGACTATTTTCAGAACATTCTTTTATGTTGTCCTAACTTAAGAAAATCTCACATATTGCAGCACGACTTTAGAAATTTGTGCATAGAGAGGTCACCCCCATTTCCCCAAAGCTCAATTCTAGTTTCTGTTTCTTCAGGTAGCATCTGAATGACCTCAAACTCCAGCACCTATTAAGTCTGAACAATCTTGGAAAACTGGTGATTCTGAGATCAGAATCCCCTTGTGAGGAATACATGAATGAAAGATGCAATGTAGCAAATATACAGACCAGTCTAAACTGGCGGTCAGAATTCTCTGGGTTTGCAGAATGAAGGAACACGATGTAATATAATAGATACAGAACCTGGCATACAGGGTTTCCTGTGTTCATATCCACAAGTACCTGGGTCCCAGACCTCCTGATTCTAGTTGGCGTGCCCTGTGTGAGTGGTTCAGTTGGAAATTTAGTTGCAACCCACAGGAGTAATACTACATTTCTCTAGTAGCAAACTCAGGGGGCAGTAGCAACAGGAAGCTGCGTCTCTTGTAGTTCCCAGAACTCTCCTCTCTGTGCCTTGAGGAGGAGACTGACTGTAAGGACTCCATTTTGTTCAGAGTAGCCGACCGTGTGGTTTGGAGCACTCTCTGGGGTTCCTCAGAAGGCTTCCTGGATCTTCTCCAAACTCCCAGCTCCAGATCCCACAGATTGTTCTCACAAGGACCCTGTGAAGACATTGGTGGACGGTCACTGCTTTCAGGCCACAAAATGGGTAAGTTGGTCAGCATGAGGCCTTAGGTCCCTACAGGGCAGCAGAGTTTCCGGGTTCCCTTTCTCCCTCCCCCACTGAAAGGATACCCTGCTGAACCCTCTTTAGATGAGGGGTAGTGAGGACACAGGCTATTTTTCATTCCTTGGAGGAAATAGACTGAGTGGGCCCTGAGGCACCTATCCTGATTCCACATGGAAAACTTCCCCTCCTGTGTAACTCCTATGGAAATTCACATGCCCTGGGTGAATTTTTATCCCTGGTTGGGGGTGGGGCAGAGAATCTGCCATTAACTTTGAATCCTCACATCAACTATTCCAGGTAGATTTTATTCTGAAATTTTCTTGAAGCTCGCTTTATGGCCCAGCATATGATCTATTCTGGAATGTTCTGTGTGCATTTGTTATGTGGGTTGCTCTGTGTCAACTAAGTAAATTTATGAATTTACTTAAATTCATGTTTTTACGTCTTCTCCATCTAGCTGAATTTTTGTGATTTCAGGTGTCAGTGTGGTGTATTAAAATTTCCCACTGTGAAAAAAAATTTCCCACTATGATTGTGATTTGCTCATTTCTCCATTGACTGCTGTCTTATTTTCCTTTGCAAATTTTGGCTTTAAGTTAAGACATGCATTTAAATCTAGAATTTTTGGTTAATACCTTCTTACTGCATTGAAACTTTTATCTAGTTAAGTTTTTTCTTTAAAGTATGTCTTTTTGGGCCTCCCCGGTGGCGCAGCGGTTGAGCACTGGGTTGCGAAGCTGCCCGCAGCCTCTGCAGTGCCGGTTCGATCCCTGGCCACGGGAGGAGGGTCCCACATGGCGCGCAGACCTCTCCTGGCGCCCGCTGCTCCCCTCAGCAGTGTACTTCGGTCCTTCTGCCTGCTCTGCTCCCCGCTCTGGCTCTGGTGAATTCTCTCACCCTCCCGCGCTTCTGACTGCACCCAGTGCTTGTATAAATAAATAAATAAATCTTCAAAATAAATAAATTATTTAAAAAAAAATAAAGTATGTCTTTTCTTTTATTAATATGGCTATAGCAGTATTAGTATGTAAACGGTATGTATTTTGTCAGGTTTTTTTATTTTTAAATTTTCTGTATTGTAAATTTTACGTGTGTCTCTTTTAAGGAGCATATATTGCAGTGTTTTTTATTTTTATTTTTTAAAAATTTATTTATTTATGCATACAAGAACTGGGGTACAGGCCAGAGGTGTGGGGGGGGGTGAGAGGATTCACCAGAGACAGAGCGGGGAACAGAACAGGCAGACTGACTGAAATACACTGCTGAGGGGAGCAGCGGGTGAGACAGGAGAGGTCTGCTGCACCATGTGGGTAGCTCCCTGGCCGGGGATTGAACTCGTGCTGCAGAGGCTGCCAATAGCTTCACAGTGCTATGCTTAACCCCTTGAGTTTTTTTTATTTTTAAATTTTCTGTATTATAAATTTTGCATGTGTCTCTTTTAAGGAGCATACATTGCAGTGTTTATTTTTTTTTAATCCAGTTAAATAATATCTTTCTATTTGGAATACTTTGTCTGAAAATTTTAATATCAGTACAGATATAATTTGGTTTAAATATACCATATTGGGCCTCCCTGGTGTAGCAGGCGATTGAGCAAAGCGCTTTGGAGCTGTCCGCAGCCTCTGCAGTGCGGGTTCCATACCCGCAGGCCGCAGAGCGGCCCTCATGGCGTGTGTTTTGGTCGTTCAGCCTGTTCTGTTCCCCACTCCGTCTCTGGTGAGTCTTCTCACCCTCCTGCGCATCTGCCCTGTACCCCGGTTCTTGTATAAATAAGATAAATCTTTAAAAATATATATACCATATTACTGTACATTTATTTTTGCCTGTTCTAAGTTTCTTTTCCTTTCCTTTGAATTGAGTGATATTTTTAAGCTATTGAATTATTGCTTCACTTGGCTAGATAAATATCATTTTACCATTCTTGTAGTGTTGGTCCTTAAATTAAACTGCACATCTTTACCTTTTCGCAGTCCACTGTGTTAGTTCTTTTTCAGCTCTTCAGACAATGAAGGGACCGTGGAGCACTTTGATTCCATTTACCACCTCCTAAATTATTGTTAGGTATTTTAACTCTATATATACTTAACCACCAGAAGAAATTATTATCATTGTGCTACGTAGTCAGTACTTATTTAGATTTTCTTAGATGTTTGCAAATGCTATTAATTTTTCTTTCCTATATCTTTGTGCTTCCATCTGGGATCTTATTTCTTCTGCATGAAGAGCCTTAAATATTTCTTTCAGTTTGAGTTATCAGTTTGAGTTATTTCCCCAGTCATTGCTCCATTAACGTCTGTGTGAAATGTATGTTTTTTTCTTCAGGAATTTTTTTCTTTAGCATACTTTTTCTGCTGTTCATATTTGGTATACTAACTTGATGTCTTGTCACTTTTGGAAACTTCTAAACTAAGAACTCTTCAAATACCATTTCTTCACTGTTTCCTCCCCTTCTTTCGGAGATGAATTAAAACATGTGTTGGATGTATCCACTATATCTCCTTGAATTCTTTCTCCCCTCACTTTTGATGACATTTTCATCAGACTTATCTTTCATTTCTCCAGTTATTCCTTTAGGCAAGGGCCTCACCTGTACCCTAATCTCACACCATAACACCAAACTTTGAGAAGAGATTTTATTATACCCCCAGAACAGAGGAGGGAAGTGAGAGGTAGAGAGGCTAAGAAACTTGCCCCAGGTCACCTAGCCTGAAAAAGACAGAGTAGAGACTATATCACTGATTAAACACTGCACCAGCCCTTCCCTCTGTGCTTGTTCTTGCTCTCTCTCTCTCTCTCTCTCTCTCTTTTAAGATTTATTTATTTATGCATACAAGAACTGAGGTGCAGGCCAGAGGTGGGGGTGGTGAGAGGATTCACCAGAGACAGAGTGGGGAACAGAACAGGCAGACTGACAGAAATACACTGCTGAGGGGAGCCACGGGTCAGACATCACACTGCTGAGGGGAGCCGCAGGTCTACTGCACCATGTGGGTTGCTCCCTGGCCGGCTGGGGATCAAACTGGGTGCTGCAGAGGCTGCAGACCGCTTCACAGTGCTGCGCTTAATCCCTTGCGCCACCAGGGAGGACCTATATTTCTTTTTAGATTATAAAAATCAGAAATATTTCTTCATTACCCATGATATTTTCCCAGCAGTTTTTCTGGTATCAGAACCATAGATGTGTTCTCAATTTCAGGGTACAATTGCGAAACTAACTCCCCACAAAGAAGACCAAGATGCTGGGGCGTTTTCCGAAGGAGATACAGCAATTATTCTGAAGAAGTCTGTTGTGATGTTCATTCTTCATTTTACCAGCAGCGAGATGGACATCCAGGAAAAGCTCATGTTCACTTGGACACCTGCATAAGATAGTAAGTGACCTGTCCACCAGCTGAAATGTACCAGCCTGTGGAATACGTAACCCTGTATCCACCCATGTTGTTCCTTTCTCCAACCTGAAGGAATGACGAATGATAGGATCAAATTACTGTTTGAGCCAACTTTACTGCCGCCTTGCTCAGTTGGGTGAACGAGCATAGAAAACTTTCTGGGCATACGCGGACTAATTCCTTCTCTCCACTTCCCCACAGCTCTCCTTATGCTGTTCGATCCTGCCATCCGAGAGGCAATTTTTATAAACATGACCAAGGAGGGAACATGGAGGGAAAAGAAAAATCTCCAGAGAGTGTGATAGAGAGGATCCGACAAGATAAAAGCTTACGGAGCTGGTTCAAGGTCACAGTGAGTGTTCTAGCAAAATGGGCCTAACATGTAGAAAAAGGTAAGCAGAGGGGTTAGGCTGGACTTCTATGGAGATACTAGGTGCTTTTCTGGGACACAGAAATTGGTAATCTCTCTTTTTATTACTTGGAGTTAACATCCTAAGTTATCCAACGGGAGACTCAAATAATTTCTTAAGATAGGACAATAGCCGTTATTTCTAACTTTTATACCAGACTTGGATTTCCTAAGTACAGACTGACTGTGGGGGGACTTGGAAAGGTTGTACACAAGCAAAGGAGAACACTACCGTCAAGGAGAGGAAGCAGATCCGCACCAGAAGGCTCAGTTTGGCTCAAGCTGAACGTTGGAGGAGGATGAGGCTCTGGGCTTCCTGTCAGAAGGGGAGGGCAGGTCTGCCTTAGGTGGGGTCTCTTGGAACTTTATTAAAAAAGTACATATTAATCATTTAAAATTTATTATTTGAAGAAAAATCTATTTTTTAATTAATTTATTGATTTTCTTACATCATCATTAATTTTTGTGCTATATTTGATTTCTCCCCTCAGATGTCATCCCTGTAGTTCCCCCACCATCATAGCCCCCATGACCCGTGATCACCACCATCGCTTGTTCTCTTCCCTCCCCTGTTTTAGCCCCTCCGCCTTCCCTTCCCTTGCTGTGTGCCTCAGATCTGTGGTCAGCCTCCAGGTTTTGTCTTTTTCTTGACCTTTCGTTCAGTAAAGAAAAATATTTGAACAGAGAGGGAAGGTATTTAGGAAATCCAGGCCTGGTACAAAAGTTAGAAATAATGGCTATTGTCCTATCTTAAGAAATTATTTGAAAGTCTTCAAGCTTCGAAATAAGCTTTTAAAAAGGTATGAAAGGAAGACCTGCTGGGGTCTTATCTTAGACTTAGATCCCATTATGTGCCTCTCCACTCCCATCTTTTCTTTGGCTCCTAGATTCCATTCGGTATAAAATATGATGAGAAGTGGCTGCTGAAATTGATCCAGAAGGAATGCAGCATCCCATTCACCCCAGTCGGGGTAAGAGGCAGATAGGAGGTAACAGGGAAGATGAAGACCCAGATGAGTAGTAGCTCCAGTCTCATAATCTGTTTCTCTTGCTCGTCTCCCTATAGTTTCACTATGAGAAAATGCAGGCCCAGTTCTTCGTCGAGAATGCCAGCGTTGCCTTCATACTGAAGAATGTCAGCGGGAAGATTTGGGACAAGGACAACGAAAAGGTGTGTGTCGAGGAAGTGACCAGGCCTGGCTGGAAAACAGCAGAACAGGTCGTAGTGGGGTCTTAGGCCTCAGGGTTCCTAGTATTTGCCCAGCCCCTCTTGTGTTCTCTGCAGATAACTCTCTTTGTCAGCCCCTCTAATGTACCCGACTCCGTGCAAAAGCAGCCGAAGTCAGGAAACTCAGAGCAGAGAAAGGTAATGCAGATGCCACAGAGGTTGTGCTCACCCATTCAGACCCACCCCTGCCTCCCCACCTACCGCTCCTCTCCACCCCCTCAGACACAGAGCCGAACTCCTTCTCTGATTCTGCAGCTGCCCGTGAACAAACTGTGTGATGCCTCCCTGCCATCTCTTAGCATCCAGAGATGCTACATTAACCCTGGTATTGCTGACAGCACTCATACTAGGGGAGTGAGGGTGGAGGGGTCTGTCTGGGAAGGAGACGTGGGGATGGTAATGTGGGGAGGGCTTGGTGCTGGACGTGTCAGTCTTCTGATTCCCTGCTCTCGACTTCCTGCAGACTTGATGGCCCAGGGATCTAAAAATGTCATGGCTGCCTCACTGAAGATGCACGAAGAGAATGTTCCCACAGTGAGGACGTAGGCCCAGTGCTGGGATTGGTGTAATGGGTGCCAGAGATTAGGTAGAAGGCACAGATTGTTCTCAGATACCCCCTGTTGGGACCCTCACTCTTAACTCTTCCCTCATCACAGCTTTTGCCCTTGAACCTGAGCAAAATGAACCCCTACCAGCTGGGTGGCCCAACCGACATCCTGCAGAATGCCTCCAGCATCAAGGACCTGAACCTCTCCAAAAGTGAGGTGAGGTGTCTTATCCAGATCCTTCCTTGAAGGGAAGGTGGGACGGTTCATCAAGTGGTGACAAGAGACAGGGAAGTAGATTTCCAGGGAAAGAATGGAAACAGAATTGTAGGATCATCCTGCATTTCCACATAGTTTCTTCCATAATCACAGGTGAAGTCTGCAGGGGAGTTGGAGAGAGACAAAGAGCTGAAACCAGAAGAGATGTGTGCAGAGAGAGATTCCCTGCGCACCACCTTTCCAGATAAGTCAAGCAACATAAGGTAAAAATACCCTCTTACCAGGAGGCAGCAGGCCTGGTCTTTGGGAGAACCTTGGGCCCGAGTCTGCCCTCTCCCCTCCGTGTCCCTCATCTGCGCTCAGAGCTCTCCTCTCCTTCCTCCGACCCGCTCGCTGTCCTCCCAGTCTGGGGTCTGGTCCTGAGTCTGCCTCCAGCCTCTCTCTCGTGACCTGCCAAGCGTGCGCCCCAGGAAGCAGGGCTTCCCTCCCCGCCGGGACCACCAGTCACCAGCCTGAGCCCGATGTGGTGCCCTGGACGAGAAGGGACGTCCAGCCGGGCTGGTGCTGAGATGGGCCTTCCGGTCCCGTGCTGGCACCAGGCTGCCCTCTCCTGTTCTGGGGGTGCCCACTTTCCTAGCTCCAAGGGCCTCCCCTCCAATCCCAGCTTGACATGGGGGCTTTCCTGGCCCGGGCTGGGGGCTGAGGCCCTGGGTGGCTGTCATCATGTCATCGTCCCTCCGGCCCAGAGCCAGGAGCTGGGACCTCCTTGGAGAAACCTGGGTTTCCTGAGCCGGGGGTCAGAGGTGGGCCACCCCCGGTGAGCAGAGGCTTCCCGAGGGAGGGAGGGAGGGAAGGCAGAGGCCAGCGGCGTCTGAGGACACAGAGGACGGGCCTCTCGGGCACTGTCCCTCCCTCCCTCCCTCCACCCGGCCATGGTGCCGCCTGGCCCCGCAGAGGTGCCCCGGGTAGCCCGTCAGGGGTCTGAGTTCCCAGGCAAGGGGCCAAGGAAGACAGGCACAGGAGCCCAGGGCCAGCAGAGAGAAGGCGGGGACATCAGCGGGGCCGCAGACCCTCCCCCCCCCCACGCTGAGCTGGGCCTGGCCCTTCACTCCTCTGGGGAGGGTGTCCTGCCCCCGTGGCTACCCTTTGTCTGTGCCCGGCTCGGTGGGCTGTGGGGCTGAGGAAGGCCCAGCAGCATCCGGAGGGCCCCAGCCCCACAGGTGCATGCTTCCCACGCCCACGTGGGGCCTCAGGGCCAGCCAGGGGCAGGTGAAGGGAAGGCCTGCAGCGGGGGAGCCAATTCCCCTTCCTTCCCTCTGCTTCCTGCCCCCTTCCCTTTGCCTTCTCTCTCCTGTGAGCTGCGCCTCTGGGACTCTCCTGTCTCCTGTCCTGCCTTCACCCCTTTCAGTCTTCATGCGCCCCCTTTCCATCCTGCCTGCCGAGTTCCACCTCACTCACCTCCTGCCCAGCATCCGGGGACCACTGTCCCTGGTCCTGGGACAGTGCTGGACCCAGAGTGAGGCAGCAGCGCCCTGGGCTCCCAGGCCATGCCCTCTTCTCTCTGGAGCCCTCAGGGGGGACACAGAGAGAGGCAGGGAGGGGGGCGGAGTCCTGGGGCCTGGGCTCCAGATGCTGTGTCTTGTGGCGGTGGAAAGGGAGTTGGGGGGGGCGGAGAGGGTGGAGGGAAAGGGAGGGAGAGAGACCTGCCTCTGTCAGTCCGTGGGAAGGTGCCCAGGGCCCTGGACCACTGGGAGGCAGGGGCTGTCTCTGGTGTGGGTGCTGCCCCCCCAGCCACCTCTGCGCCAAGTTTCACTTTCTCTGTTTTGTCTTGATTTTGGCAGCTCCATCCTGGAATTGTTCCCCAAGTTAATGCGCCTGGTAATTGTATTCCTCTTCATTGGCTCTTCTAACTGGCACTGATGCCACCCACTGAACCCCCTTAGGGCTTGTCCAAGGTACACTGTAGATCTGACCCTTAAACCCATGGAGGTGCAGCCCCACGTGGGAAGCTGACAGAGGCTCTGGGCCTTCTCGCAAGTTCTCCACAAATTCTGGCACGCCATGGTGATGAGCCCCCCTGCATCCCTGGCCCTGGAATTTCCAGGGCCATTTTACCCCTGACCTCTGACCCTCACCCTGCCCTGGTGGTCCCTTCCTTTCCCCTGATCGACCAGGAGCACCTCCTGGTCTGCGCTGCTGACTTGCTCTTGCTTCCCAGGAAGGGCAGGACTCACTGCCCCCAAGTGACTTTGATCTGCAAGCCCAGAAGAAGTTGCCAACCTGCAAGGTGAGGATGAGGATCAAGCAGGGCTTTAGGGGGTACATGAGGACCACTATCAGCCATAGTCCTGACTGTTTTCGTTTCAGGGAAGCTTCTTTGGATCTGAGACACTGAAGAATATAATTCTGCAATTCCTGCAGCAGTAAGTACTCCTGGGGCTACAAGGAAAGCAGGGCCTGGAGAGATGGGGTCACTAAGGCTCAGGATGGCTCACTGGGTCTTATCTCATTTGGGGTCCAGATCACAGAGATCCACTTTGCCCTTTGCCTCCCCGCAGGTATTACTGGATCTATGACTATGGTGACCGGAAGAGTCTCCTCGGTATTTATCATGAACAAGCCTGCTTCTCCCTGAGTATTCCTTTCAACCCCAAGGACCCAGCTCTGTGAGTATCACAGCCTACACTCTCATCCTGCTGCTGGGACTCCCCAACAGATGGGCCAGCTCCTGAGAACACCCCCACTGGCCTGACACCACCTCCTGTTCTTCTTTCTCCTATTAGCAGCATGTGGCAGTACTTCAGAGACAGCAGGAACATGATAAAGCTTAAGGACCCCTGTAAGTGGGTGATGGGGGAGACTGGGCAGTGAAAGGGCACGGCTTGGGGCGGTGTCAGTTGCAGGGTGCAGGGTATGGTGGTCCTGGCGGTCCCTGACCTTTGCTTGCATCACCTCCCACACCCCACCAACAGACACGCGGTATCAGCTGCTGAGACATACAAGCCCTGAGATTGTGAGCACCCTGTGCGTGCTGCCCCAAACTCAGCATGACCTGGGCTCCTTCCTGGTGGACTTGTGGGCCCACACGGTGAGCACCCGCTTCCTCCCTCGGGCAGGCCCAGAAAGCCACAGGTGGGTGGGAGGCTTCGGTGGTGACTGAGCACCCGGGCGCTTCCCTTTCAGGAAGCCATGCTCTGCTTCTCTGTCCACGGGGTGTTCAGGGAACGTGAGTATTTGTAGAGCGTCCCCCAGGCCTCTTAGAGCTCCCGCCCGCTGTCTGGGCTCCCTCAAATTCTGCCATATTCCCAGACCCCTTTCCCTGCTCCCCCATTCCCTGTGTTCTTCAGTCCCCCCCCACCAAGTACATCCTGGCCTGCCCTGCCCCCCGCCTGTCTGCCCCACACCCACACCGCTGGGGGGTGAGGGAGGGACACAGGCTGCAGGGTTCCATGGCTCTCACCCCAGATGCTTCCTCTGGGAACTTGGAGCCCCTGCTGAACCTCTCAGTTGCCTCACTTTCAAATGGGGCTGCTGACACCCCAGTCTCGGTCAGCTGCGGAACGCAAGTGGTTGAGCCCGTGGGCCGGTTGTCCCAGGACCCCAGCAGGGCCGTGTCCCTGGGAGCAGGTGGCGCCTGTTGTTGCCCTGCCCGTTCCCGACACCCTGACTCCCAGAGGACACTTGTCCCCCGCTTCAGCCTGAGTACCCAGGGAGACCCTGACCAGGGAACACCATTGAGTGTGTGAAGCATGTGAACCCCAAGGGGATGTTATTGTCTGTTGTTTGTCGTTGAAGTGGTAGGAAAGTCTCCATTTTCTGTTCGTGCCTTCACTAAGACCTTCATCACTATCGCTGGCCGCAATTCCAGGTGAGCCCCGTGTTGGATGTGGGACACCCAGGGCAGCCTGGGCCAGCAGTGGGGGATGTGGCCATGCAGCCCCCCGGGTTTCCTCAACATTGTGCACAGCCTGCTGGTGGAAAGGGGAGCAGTCTGGCCTTGTGGTTAGGAGCATGGGCCAGGAGTCAGCTCTGGGGTTCCCTGCCTGACCCCAACCCTCACTGGCTGTGTGACCTTGGTCTAATCACATGACCTGTGTGTGGCACGGGGTCTCCTCTGCAGATGGGCTTAGAGTGTCCTCTCCTGTGCTTTACATAGCACACACACTGGGATTCACCCTCTACATGTGGTGATGCTGGAGGCAGTCTCTGTGGTGGTGGACTCTGTGGGAGGGTGCAGGTACCCCCAACGATGCTGGGAGGCAGGCACAGGAGGGGTGTGATAGGAAATGGCTGCTGAGGGGCACAAGGAGGAGCAGATCATTGTTGGGCATGTCTGTCTTTCCATTGTCTGAGGGCCTGTTTTCCCTCCAGTCTCTGCATCATGAATGACGAGCTGTTTGTGAGGGACGCCATCTGCAATGACTCCCAGAACGCGTTCTCCATGCCACCGTCACTGCCCGTGCCCACCGTGCCCACTGCTGCACGCCCTGTGCGCTTCCCCTTGCAGCAGCAGCAGCAGCAGCAGCAGCAGCAGCAGCAGCAGCAGCAAATGGCACAGGCTTTCACGGCACAGGCTTTCACATCCCAGTGTGCGATGAACCTCCAGTGGTCTCAGGAGTGAGTGCTGGGTGTGCAGCGGGACAAGTGGGAGCTGGGAGAACCCAAGAAGTGAATAATTGGAACTAGCAAGTAAATTGTTTTGCTTTTTATTTCCCTCTGTACATATAAGCTACACAGTTGGCTGGAACAGCCGTGCATTACTTTTCTGAATTCCATGGAACTCATTCCTTTATTGAGAGATGTTTGGGTTCCAGTGGCTTTCCCATGACACACTGCCACAGAGCTCACGCCGCTGCTTGTGACACAGTGAATGTGGAGGCATGTTTCGCTTACACAGACTGAGAAATGACACTGTGTGATCAGAGTGTCTCCACTTGGTCCCAATGGATGTTGCCTGTCCTTCTTCCACCACAGGTACCTTCAGGATAATGGCTGGGACAGCGCCAGTGCTGCACCAGTTCTTGCTCAGCCCAAGGTGAGGCCCGAGGAGTGGAGGGCAGGTGTCTGGGGGACACTCAGTGCTCCTGGCTTTGCTCATCCCCTAAATCCCTCCCTTCACTTTCTTCAGGTCCAGGGCTTGATCCCAGAGGAGCCCCTCACACAGATGTATCCAGGACCATGAGCACACATGGGCCTGACAAGAAACCCTTGGTGTCCTCATCTTCATCTGCATTATCTTTGTTGCATTTTTTCCTCCAGGCTGAATATAACCCTATGACTGAGCTGCTAGGTCTGCTTAGGGCTGGGAAGCCCATTTTTGGCAAATGTTCATCCACCCAGAGGGCAGCTGTTCTGTGTTTATCTCACCCAGCATCCCTATTTCTTTTGACAATAAAGGATGAAATTGCATCTTATGTATCCCTGAGAAATCCATTCTAGGATTTTCCCATCCATCACTGGTGTACAGAGGAGGAAAGGGAAAGTCAGCGAAGTCAGAGAGGGTCAGCAACTCCTGGAGAACAACAGGTAGAGACTCAAGTCCCGGGCCCCCTAAGCCCTGGGCTGAGTGTGCACTTCAGAGTCATGTGGCTGCAGAGATGGGGAGGTGCTCTGTTGCCCCAGTAAACTTGAGGGCTGGGGTTCTGTGCCTCTAGTGCATTAGCCAAATGTTTTTAAGTAGAGAACAGTATTGTTTCTTAACTTTACAAATCTATTCAAATTGAACAATTCTTTTTTAAAAAAGATTTATTTATTTTTATACAAGAACCAGGGTACAGGCCAGATGTGCGGGAGGGTGAGAGGATTCACCAGAGACAGAGCGGGGAACAGAACAGGCAGACTGACTAAATACACTGCTGAGGGGAGCAGTGGGCAAGACAGGAGAGGTCTGCTGTGCCATGTGGGATTCTCGCTGGCCGGCCGGCTAGGATCAAACCCGTGCTACAGAGGCTGCGGACAGCCCCACGGTGCGGCCCTCAACCGCCTGCGCCACCAGGGAGGCCCAAATTGAACAATTCTTTTAGGAAACATTAAAAAGCACATGAAAACCTGGGAGGAAAACAATAATCCTCATATATGGCTGACATTGGATTAATAACCTTGACAGATGAAATCAGTAGAGAAGGGAAACTGTAGAATTGTTATAACTAAATAAGAATGCCCAACAGATCTATAAAAACTACCCAACCATAATAACCTACCAAACAACAGCAAACATTGAGATAAGGCACTACATGAGAAAAGAATACTAATGTTAGTTCTCTTCAGAAAAATTAATGTATATGCGTGTCTCTATATTAATATATTAGTTCCCTAGGGCTGCCATTTTAGCATTGACATAAAGCGGATGGCTTAACGCAACAGAAATGCATTTTCTCACCATTTGGGAGGGGAGAGGTTCTAGGGGAGAATCCTTTCTTGCTTTTCCAGCTTCTAGTTGCTTCTGGTATTTTTTGGCTTGTGGCAACATAAATCACCTCAGCCTCCTACTTTACTTGGTATTCTTATCTGTACCCTCTTTTCCAAGCATCGCTTAATTCGTGGCTACTGTAATCCAAGGGTTGCAGATGAAAATCCCAAATTTGACTGTGGTGACGGTTGTGAATATTTCTGAGTATACTGAAAACTACTGAATTGAACATTTTAAATGGGCAATTCTTGTAATATGTGAATTATAGTTCCATAATGCTGTTTTAAAAAGATAAAAGGAGGATCTTATCCAGATTTGCTTATTAATTGAATATGCGGGACAATGAAGAAATAGAAAAGAAGCAGGTCCAAGGTGAGAATAAATGACTAGAGAAAGACAGCATGAGTTCAGGGACTTTTTTTAAAAAAAGATTTATTTATTTATGCCTACAACAACTGGGGTACAGGCCAGAGGTGCAAGGGGGAGTATAGGGGGTAGGGTGAGAGGATTCACCAGAGACAGAGTGGGGAGCAGAACAGGCGGATGGACTGAAATACACTGCTGAGGGGAGCAGCGGGCTAGACAGGAGAGGTCTTCGGTGCCACGTGGGGAGCTCCCTGGCTGGCAGGGTATCTGCTGAGAGGCTGTGGATAGCTTCATAGTGCTGTGCTTAACCCCTTGTGCCACCAGGGAGGCCCAAGAGACTTTTTAAATTTTTTGAGGGAGAAGGGATCACAGACTCTTGAAAATCTGCTAAGTATGGCCCCTTTCTCCCCTGTCCCCATACAAATGTAAATATACCACTGTCACACCCCCCCCCTTATTACACATTATTTCGAATAACACAGACTTCTGAGTTGAGAATGCCTAATGTAAGGTTATTCAGGATGGTCAACAGACAATGTTCCTCAGACCCTGACATAATTGCGGGATTACCAAGGTGGGTAAGGACTGGCAGATAGTGACCCTGTAGTAAAGGTGGGTTCTTCCTCAGTGGCCTGGAGCTGAGGAAGTTAGGGTGAGAATCCCAGCAGTCTGCACTTCCTAAACCAGGTGAGACACAAGAGAAGGTCCTAGGGGCACTGATATTGTCCTCATTGACAAGGTGGAAAATAGGAGAGAATAGACAGACAAGGGAAGATGTCCCCTCAGCAATCACTTCTCTGTACCCCTGGAATCCCCCCCACCAGGTATAGAAGGTTTCCACTATGAGAGCTGATCCTTCCCCACACCCCAAGCCCCATGTGGCACTTGAGTCACTAAGTGGGAATTTGGAAAAGAATGGAGGCAAGAAGCCAAAGGAATTGACTCAGGCCAGTAGTCCTACATTATCGTAGTAAGCCACGGTCAGGAGCCAGAATATAGGAAAGGAGAGACTCTGGAATGTGGCAGAGGGAGGGTCCACACCTCCCCAATCTCTTTGTCAGGGCAGGCGTGATTTATCTCCCTCTGTTGGCCTCAGCCTCACAGCTTTTCCCTTTGCTGATGTCTTCAAAACCATCAATAATTACAGCCGTTACATTTCAGCAGATGACTTCAGTTATCAGCAAATGCCTTTCCACATTTAATGAATGTGTATTATGATCGAACAAAATATAAATGTTTCTTAATGAAAGTTGAATTTGTCCCATAAGGAGAAAATTTGTCCCATTTTATTTATATAAAATGGCCAAGTTCTGACAACTGGGTTTCTCCTTAAACATTCGCATTTTCAAAACACCGATTGTGTTCAGGAGGACTTCCCCTTATTTCTCCTTTTATTCCCATAAAATTTTTAAATAAATTAGAATGTTCTTAAAGATTAATGTACCTGGCACCCCGAGAAAATATTTTCTATGTGGTACATAAACCGGGGAACATAAACAAGGAGGGTTTTCATTCCCCCAGGCTGAAGTATGTCTTTTACAAATGAAATTTCATAATTTTCAGTTTTTGAGGCATTGTGAATTTTAAAGAAGGAAATAAAGAGAAATTATTAGGAAGGCGATATCAGCCAGGGAGTAAAGGACAGAAACAGAAAAGACCTAAGTGAATAATTGAATGCTAGGTTGGGGGTGGGGATGGGGGGGGATGGGGGAGTGAGGGGCTTCAGACCTCCCCTGAAGACCAGGGAAGGGCAAACCCGGGCCTCGGGGCGTCGCGCCACAGCCGTGGGCAATCGGATTGGCGAGGACGAGCCCCGCGACATGGTGGTGCGCCCCGGGTGCCCGCGCGGGGCGGAGCAGGGGGAGCCCGTGCGTGCAGGGGGGGGGGGGAGGGTCCGGTCCTGCCGCCCGCGGGCCAGTGGGGGTGGGGTGGGGTCCAGTGGGGTGGGGAGGAGGGCGAGCTCGGCGGTGACGCGGGGCCCTCACGTGACCGGGAGCTGCAAAGCGACGCAGCCCTCGGCGCAGTCGTCACTCGCGTCTGGGTACCAGGTCCCCGCTGCCCTGCGCGCGGCGGGCTGGCATCGGGCCCGGGGGAGCGGAGCAGGTAAGGGCCCCGGGGCCCGCGCGCCCAGGCCGGGGCGGCGGCGGCCTGCGGATCCCGGCGTCCAGCGCGGGGCTCAGTGCGGCGGATCCCGGCCGGCCTTCCCGGCGCCCCGGCATTCCTGGGAACGTAAATAGTAGCCCCTTGGGGGCGGGGTACGCTGGCGCGGCTGGGTTCCATGGGGGGCAGAAAAGCGAATAAGGGCAATGGAAAGCCACCCCCAAGTTCCTGCACGAAAATGGTGAACCTCCGGGTGGGAAGCTTGCCATGGTCGCTGTGAGTGGAGACTGAGGGAACAGACCTGGCGGGGGAGGCTAAAAGGGCCCGGGGAAGTGGGAATGGGGGAGTGTACAGGAGGCAGCGGGTTGGCGCCCTGCACTTGCCTGTAGCAGGCCCTGCTCCACGTCTGCCCTCCCTCCCCTCCGCTTTTGCAGGTCTGCTGGTCCAAGTGTCGCGGCGCACCTCACAGCGTGGATCGCGAGGAGGAGGAGACAGCAAGGATAGGCCCAGGTCGGTGCAAGGAACAGTGGTGGGCGGCGGGGTGCAGAGCCAGTCCGAGACCCCCTCCAACTTCCCCAACCACCTTCCTCCATTTTGCTGCCTGCAGAGGCCCAGGGAATGGATCTGTAGGGAAAATGGTGGGTTTGGGGGGATGGGAAGGGAAGAAAGTGAGAGGGAGGGGGGAGAGCTCCGATTGGAGGCCCCCTAGAGGGCGCACGAAGCCTCTCAGGTGGGAAAAATGAAATTTAAAAAATAACCTTTGATACGCAGCGTTTTGAAAGCTGAGTAGTGGGGGCCTCTGTCCTCGGTGCTGATCAGTCCACCAGAAATTCACTCCCTTCTCTCGCCTTTTGTCTCCTAGGATAATGGAGTCCAAAGAGGAACAAGTGGCAAAAGATCTCAACATGGAAAATGCCAACGCGGGGCATGAGAAAAAGGAGGAAAAGGAGCACGACGCTAATAAAGGAGAGCCCTTGGCCCTCCCTTGGGAAGCTGGTGAATATTCTTTGCCTAGAGGAAGCCGTAGGCGGTCCCGCATCCGGCAGCCCATCCAGCAGTATAGATGGGAAGTGATTGAGAAGCTTGGAGAGCCACAGGCGAGGGTGAGAGAGGAGAATATGGAAAGGATTGGGGAGGAGGTGAGGCAGCTGATGGAAAAGCTGAGGGAAAAGCAGTCCAGTCATAGTCTGCGCGCAGTTAGCACTGACCCCCCTCGCCAAGACCATCATGATGAGTTTTGCCTTATGCCTTGAATCCTGTTGTTTCCCCTGAAGCTAATAGGGAGACACGCCTGCTTCCTAAACTTACATGTTTGTGATGTACCTTTGTTGTAAACCTTTTGATGTCATTAATTTCTGGTGGGTCTCTTACTACCAACTTAGAGTTGAATGTTGTGTTTTTCACCCAGTCTGTAAGATTTTGTTAGCAGAGGAATTTTACCTATTGCATGGGAAAAAGCTCATTATATATTGTGAAGTTAATAAAGCAGTTTAAAAAAGCAACCTGTGTATGTATTCTTTTTATTTTAAATCTTATTTAGTACACAAAGAGAAAAATCCTTAAATTAAATATACCAAGGGATTAACCTAGGGACTCATTTCTGTAAGTTAAGTTGATGTGTGTTCTTTTATATTTTCTGTAGTTTGATAAGAAATGGACACTTTTTAATGACCTTATGAAAGCGGTAGAATCACTTTAATGCTTCATAAAAAAATTTAGATCTTTTAGTCAGGTGAATAAACCTGGGAATTCTTTATAAATTGGGGGCTATATTTGTTTCATGTGACTGTGAAGCTAGCTTATGTGTATGAGCTGTTTACCTATTTTTGCCCCCCACACCCACCTGTTATGCAAGATACCCTATTCTCACATTTTCCCTTCCTTTATTTATCAGAGTCCCCAAAGTAAGAGATCTTATCTGTTTAGCATCCCTACTCCCCACTGGCCTGGAATGTCTGCTTGTCATGCTGAGATTTCTGGCTAACAACAGGTAGGTGTTTAACGAAAAAATAAAATGAATGATTGAGTCAGGAGCTCTGAGTTCTTGTCTCAAATTCAATCCCTGAGTAAATCAGTTATCTTGGATATGTAACTTGATGTCTCTGCAAGAGATTACTTGGAGTTCCTAAAGGAAGACTGAGTTCATTTTAATAATGCCCTGCTGTTTCTAAAAGTAAACTAAACTGCCATCTGTGTGAAAATCAACTGATAACTTTGTTGAAAATTTGGGCTCCTGATCTCACTCTAAATGTACTGAATGGAGCTTTGGAAGTTTCATTTTTAGCAAGCTTCTCTGGCGATTTGATGTGCATGAATGGTGAAAGGGGACTAGAGTGTATATATTATGACCTCATCAGTAGGAACCATAGTTAGAACATTGAAGATGACTATCTGGAGCCAGTGGTGAGAAGCATTAAAATGCAAAAAAAAATTAAAAGACCTTTAGATTTACTACATAAAAACTAAAATTGGAAGTATGTATACTAAAAGGTTAACAGTGGTTCTCTCTCATGGTATATTTTTCTTAAGGAATAATATGTTACTTGTGCTAAAAAGAAATAAAACCCAACAACAGATTCAGATCCAAAGAGATCTTCAGTGAGCTTATAAATGGAATGGAGGCACTTAAAGATTCTCATTGACAGAACTTAGATATGTAGATTTCAGTTATCCTTAGGTAAGATATTCATACCCTGGTGTGATTGTCCTTTCTTTTGAATATGGGTAAAATGACTAGGTCTTACTTCTAATTAATATAGCAAAAGAGATGTGATGTCACTTCTGTGATTGTATGACAAAAAAGACTGATTTCTGTCTTGCTTGGAGACTCCCTTCATGCCCCCTCCCAAGCTGTCATGCTGGAAGAATCCACATATGGCAAGTACCTGCCAGTCAGCAGCCTGTGAGGAACTGAGAAACTCAGTTCAATATCCCTTGAAGATATGACTCCTGCTCAACACCATAGGCAAGTTTGGAAGCAGCAACTTCTGCAGTCAAGCCTTCAGTTAAGACCCTAGCTCTGGCCAGTATGTTGATTGCAGCTTTGTAAAGGATCTTGAGGAGACACAGATAAGCCACAGATGATTCACAAGATCTCTGGATAATAAATGTAATTGGTTTTGAGCTGCTAAATTTTAGCAGCTTTGTTTGTTACACAACAGTAGAGAACTAACACAGTGGGTATCTCTGAGGATGATGCTTAATTAGACATAACCACAGTACAATAATCAAACACAAAGATGGAAAACCATAACTTAATGTCCAGTGTTCAAATTTCCAGTGATCTCATAATTTTTAACCACAAAATATATAAACCAGCACAAAGTAAATTAGCTGCCTAAGCAACATTATTGGCATCATCAGATTGCCAGGAACAGCCTAATGTCAAGTTTTCTATTAGGAAGCTGACAAGAGTGTGTCTTTGAAAAAGAGTCTCATATTCAACATAAGATTGGAACCAAAGACAGAAAAACTGGTCATTTCTTTTGCAATGATAATTGCAAAGTGGAGTGAGGGTAGAGGAGAGTGAGGGTCAGGAAGGGGTAACACACAACTTTGTAACCCAAGCAGACATTTTATATTCTGACACCTGAATTTTGCAAATATGTTGGCAAAAGCAGTTGTATTCAAATTTGCCAAAGTAACCTGTTAAACTTTCTGAAAAAAGCATTGGCTGGGAAAAAGCGGCTGCCAGGCTGACAAAGCTGGAAAGATGCAGGCATACATCATCAGATTACCAATCGTCCTTGTGGTTGAGCAAATACCTGCAGTGAAATGTATTATCACACTTTAGAGGAAGTATGGAACAGGGATAGCGGGATGAACAAGCAGGTCTATGAAACCATTGCAACAACCAGTTTGAATAAAGTGTGGGGTATGTTACTAAGAAATCACTTATTTTCAAGAAGCACAACATTTAAAGGAGTAATATAGGTACATGGAGAATACAATTTGTGGGTTGCCAGGACCTCAGATCTCAAAAATGAGGATGCACTCAGAGTTAAAGGTGGATAAATTGGACAGAATATGAGCATGGTTTTTCATTTCTGCTAATAAAATAAGAGATTATCTGTGGATGTTACACTGCAATGGTTGAGAGCATCTGGAGCTCTGATCAGTATCAGTAGTCCAGTGGAGGCAAAGTCATGGCAATGCATCAAGTAGGAGAATGATGACAATATGCCCATGTGAAGCAGGGGCGTGGCTATTCCTTAAGTAACTTGACATTAAAACAAGCAGAAGTCCGAAAATACAGAATTCAGTTCTGATACTATCTACCCAGACATAGCTTTAGATTCCACAGGTATCTTCAGATTCCATGTGGGTATCTCCCCAGATTCTCACAGTCCCGTGAGACTGCCCTCAGCTTCAGAGGTCACCCACCAGCCCAGGTTGTCACTTGTGCTTCCGATGGCCAACTACAAATTGGAGCTGACCCAGACCTTAGGTTCCATTAATTTGCTAACGTTTCACAGAACTCAGGAAACCCTTTTACACTTTAGATTCTGATTTATTATAAAGGCTAGGAATCAAAGCAGATGAGAAGTCATCTAAGGTTAGGTCCTAGAACTAGGGAACTTCTGTTCCCATGAAATTTGGGGCCCAGCGCAATGGCATGGTATTCTCATTCTGAATCCTGGAAGTGCTATGACCCCTTCCCTTTTTGAGATTTTTATGCTGGCTTCACTACAAAAGCATGATGGAGGAACTCATTGGCTGCTGGTGACTAACTCAACTTCTAGTCCTTCTGCCCTCCCTGGAAATTAGTGGTGGGTATGGGGGGGTGGGACTGAAAATTCCAATCTTTTATTCAGGGTTAGCTCCCCTGGCACCCAGCCCCCATCCTTAGGTGTTTTCCAAAAGGCATTTCAACATTAACCTGGTTGCAGTAGAAAGGTGCTTGTTACGAATAACAAGACACCCATTTCACCGTTATGGGTCTGAGGGTTTTCAGGAACTGAGGACAAAAGACCAAATATCATAACAAATGATGGGCCCTTCATTCTTTTTTTTTTTAAATAGTTATTTTTATTGTCCATATAGTGTTTTACATGTCTTTTTTTAAATATTTTTATTTATTTATACAAGCACTGGGTACTGTCAGAAGTGAGGGAGGGTGAGAGAATTCACCAGAGCCAGAGCGGGGAGCAGAGCAGGCAGAGGGACTGAAGTACACTGCTGAGGGGAGCAGCGGGCAGCAGGAGAGGTCTGCGTGCCATGTGGGACCCTCACCCAGCGGCCGGGGATCGAACCGGCGTTGAAGAGGCTGCAGGCAGCACTGCAACCCAGCGCTCAACCGCGGAGCCACTGGGGAAGCCCGGGCCCTTCATTCTCATTGCTCAGGAAATTCCAAGTGCTTTAAAGAGCTCTTGCAGAAATAGGAGGAAAACTAAGCATGAATTTCTTATTGTATATCACACTACCTAATACCTAAATGATCCCTAGAGAGAAAAAAACCAGAAGTACAAATAATGACAAAGCCAGTGTTGTGATGATAAATATTAAACAATTGGGTTTCCAGAAAAATATGTGGGATAAGCTCGTGAGACAGACTTTCATCTGTGGATTCTGAAGCTGTCTCTGGGTAGATAGTATCAGAATTGAGTTGATTCTCAGACTCCATACTAGGGTGCAAGAACTGTGGATGTGAGAGTTCCAACCCTTCTCCCCCCCCACACACACATTATTTCCACTGTGTAAATAGCTCAACTATAGCTTATTTCCAGATACTGACATGGTATCACTCAATGTAAAGAAAAGACATGTACAATTTTTTAAAGATTTATTTATTCATACATACAAGAGCCGGGATAAGGCCAGAGGCACGGGAGCGTGAGCGGATTCACCAGAGACAGAGCAGGGAACAGAACAGGCAGACTGACCAGATACACTGCTGAGGGAAGCAGCGGGTGAGACAGGAGAGGTCTGCTGCACCATGTGGGTATCTCCCCAGCTGGCTAGGATTGAACCCGTGCTGCAGAGGCTGCAGACAGCTTCTCAGGGCTGGGCTCAATCACCTGCGCCACGGGGGAAGCCCGAGACATGCACAATTAGTTGTCATGAGCCAGTAAGAGTCGACATGCTCACCCCCCTGACTCAAAGTCCCCTTTTGTCAAGGTGGTAAAAATGGGGACAATATATTTAAGGAAAATGAAAGATGATAATGAGGAAAGGAAATGTCTTTTGTGAAAGAGATGAAGGGTGAGCATAAAGAGAGAAAGATGAAAGAGAAAGAGAACCAGGCAGGAAATGCCCAGACAGACAGACAAAGGCCTGGTGTCTGGCAGTATGATTGTGCATAAAAGGGACTAGGTTTGAGAAAGAGAGAGATTTCAAATAGTGGCACCACCACTTAAGAAACTTTCTGACCTTAAATAAGTTTGATCAACCTCCCTTAATTTCATTACTCTTATCTGATATGTAGAAAGTGTTTTTGTAACAGGTGCTTGATATGGAAACTCTATTTTTTCTCTTCTCTTTATTGCACAGTAATTGC